CAAAAGGGTGCGGGGGGGCGGGGAAAACTCTTTTTTTAAAATTTTTGGGGTTGCGGGCCCACACACCACCTTTTTGAGGTTTCCCCAACTTGGGGTTTGGCCCCTTTTAGGTTTCCGGGGGGCTCCCCCCCCTTTCCCCTTTGGGGGGGGATTTTTTTTTTTTGGGGGGTTTCCCCCCAAAAGCCCCCCCCCGGGGGGGGCAAACCTTCAAGGGGTTTTTTTGGGTTTTTTTTCCGGGGGGGTAAAACCCCATCCTTAATTTAGGGGCCACCTTTGGGGTAAAAATTTTTTGGGGGTTGGGGGGTTTGCCCCCCCCCCCCCCCCCCCCCCCCCCGGCAAGATTCAGCCGCAAGAACAAGAAAAAAACAACAGGAGCAGGTAGCTGCAGGCTGTCCCATCCTGCTCCCAGGGGCTAGGAGTATCATCAGCCACCCTCGGCTTACCCGCAGCAGCCGCCGCTGTGGAGATAGGTGCCCTCATCGCCGGAGTCAAGCCCTTCGACCGCCCAATCTTCACCGAGGTCGTCTCCCACAGTTGGGCCCGAGCTCGCCCCCCACAGCAGCTGACGATGCGGCTCGACACACACCCGCGTGGCGCACGCATATCCATCAAAGCATCCCCCCGCCAAACCGAGCGCCGACCCTCCGTCGTGGTGGGTAGTTTCCAGTTGGCATGCCCCTCCCCCCCTGCTCCTCCCAAGCCCCCCCTCTGCCCCGCAACAATCCCGTCGCGCCTTTAACGCTCAAAGCGTCCGTCCCTTCGTGTGTGATTCCCCCGCCCGGGTGCTGCGGACCCTTGGTCCTTCCGTCGGCTTATACCGACAATATACCACATCCAACCAAGAACAGTCGTGCGTGCCTCTCCCCCGTGTCGCCCTTCGCGAAGCTTCACCCCCCCCCCCTCCCGTGAAGTGTTCCGCACTGCGCGCCCCCACCAACTTTGCGCAAAGACTGGCTGTCACATGGCTGCAAGGAGTGCGCACCCGCCCGCCCAGCTCCCGCACGCCCTCTTGTGCCTTCCCCACCACATCGTAGCAGGCATAAGACGAGTTGGGGCTGCTGCAGAGGTAGCAGCCGTAAGATGCCTACGCGTACAGGTCTAGCTTTCTAGCGGAATCGTCTGCCTCGGCGACACGTGCAGGGGGCACCGCCTGTTGCCAAGCGGGGGTACACCGGGGTACAGCCCCGTAACAAAACACGGAGAGAAGATGGGAGAGGGGGAGAGGGGGAGACAAGAAGAGAGAACGCAAGACGTTGTAGAGACACGGAGGGGGGGGAGAGGAAAAGACAGAGAGGGATGCAGAAAGAGAGGGGGGGGGGGGTAAGAGACAGACAAGACAGATAGGCCGACCAACAAACTATACCGCACCGTCATGTCACTCCACCTCTCATGTTGGCTTTGGCACTGCTCCAAGCGAAATATTTCGGGGAACACAATGCGGGGGTCCGCGACACCAAACCTTCTACACAAACTACGGTCAGCCCTCCCCCTCCTCAGCCCTGCCAACCTGCAAAGATGGCCCCTTCGCCACATCCCCCCCCGCCGAAGAAGACGCGCCCGTCCGCGAGCCCCCCTCCTTCAGTCTGGCTCGCCTCCTCCTCCACCCGCACAGCCGGAGCTCCTCGTCCTCCTCCTCCCACCGCTGCTCCTCCTCGTCCAGCCACTTGGGGTTCATCTTCCACTCGGGCGAGCCGATCTCGTGACGGAAGGGCAAGAGCACGGCGAAGTGGAAGGCCCAGTGCGCCGCCGCGAAGCCCATGATGAAACCGACTAGGACGTCATCCGGTCGATGCCAGTATTCTCGAATCCTGTTTTTTATTTTTTCGGTTGTTTTTGTTGGTTGGCGTGTGTTGTACAGGGGAAGGAAGGGTGGGTGGGAGGCGTACTCCTTAGTCTTGCATGCCTTTTAGCGGTTAGACCATTGAACACGCGTTCTCGAGCGGACGGAACGTTTTTCCCACAGGACTGATAACCGATGGTCAAGACCATTGACCACGCGTCCTCGAGAGGACGGAGCATTGTTCCCACAGGACCGATCACCGATGGCCAATCGTCCCTTCCTACTTTGCCAAAGGTGGCTCAAAAATGTCGTCCCTAGTCTATCTATCCTATCCATATCACTTCCCGCCTTTTCAACCCACTTCCCCTATGCCCCAGCACCGCTACCGGAAGGGGGGTAACAAACGTCGTGTCGTGTCGTATCGTGTCGTGTCGTGTCAGTCGGAACAGAGCGGGCGTGTCGTCCACAACTGAAGCACGGGCCCGCAGTTAAGACAGACGTCGTCGAGAAAGAAACGGCTCAAATAATGTTCGCGGGAGATGTAAGCAAATTGGGCTAAGAAACACAGCTCAAGCCGAGGATGTTGCATAAAATTCTAGCAAAAAACGCCCTGCTGTACTAAACGCTGGTGACGAAAAAAAGAAGCGGACCTAGACAAAGAAAATGACGTTTCATATGATCGCACCCCTACTACTGCATCCGACGCGGTGGCAGCGAGAACTTTTTTCACCCGGCGGGTGTGTACGCACACGAAATATTGATGTTGTGGCAGGCGGTGGCGGAGCCTACGCCTTGCAACAAATGCACCGAATCTGCATGCACACGAAACATTGTTTATTGAGGCGGGCGGTGCTGGAGCCTATGATACGCCGAACAAGAAATGAAACGAATCCGCATGCCTTGGAGGGACTGAGGGCAACGCCGAAGCATTCTTCAGGGACCGCCCGACGGCGCTTGAAAAAGTGCGCGCCTGTGTTGTGAAAATTCAGCTCTCGCTTCATTCCACAAATACGACGCGGCGTCAAAACAAAACATGTCACTCCCGTCAAAAGTGGGAAAAGGCCTGAGGTTCGAAATGCTGCTTGAAGCTAACGCCGCAGAGAGACCCACCGCGTAACGCCGATGAGGATGGCCGACATCGGGAGCAGAGCCACAACAAAGCCGCCCAGCATTACCAGCACCAGCGATAGCCTGGGGTGCGCACGCCGACGCCACTGCAGCAGAAGCATGCCGGGCGGTCGGAAACCAAGACAAAAATCGAGAGAGCACAACAAGCAGTGGTTTCATCCAGCACACACACAGGGAAAACAGCGCGGACAAGCGGGGTATAGATAGATGCACCCAGCCCGGGGGGCAGCTACTTCATAAGGATAGTATCTAGAGACGGACAATAGCGGGCGGAGGCCTGCCTGAGCGTTTTTTCGATGTGAAGACAACAAACAAAAGCAAGAACAATAATCGAAATGACCCTGGGCAAATCGATCAAAATGCTTCGGAACATTTCGAAGTGGTCTGCTTCCGCTGCTGTGGTGACCATAGTTTGTACCAACACCACGAAACAGAGCCAAAAACCAACAATGCGTGCGAACAGCAACCAAAAACGAAGACCAGCAACAAAACTGTTGTACCACGCACAAACAGAGTGCCGCAAAGCTTGAGGGTGTATGGTATTCCACGACACCGGCCCGTTGTGGTATTTTGTGTCACGAAACGGCGTCCACCGAAAAAGCGCAAGTGATCGCCCCCCCCCCCCCCCCCCCCCCCCCCCCCCCCCCCCCCC